ATCAATAGTTTTGTGAACTCACTGCATTCACGGGCCCCACTCTTAATACCATTAAGTTTTGTTGCAGCTTCTTTTCCTAACAAAGTTTGACATTGCATTTGACACAAACAAAAATCAGTCCGACATTTACTTTCATTATTCAAAACGAAAACATTAGCAGTAAACGTACCTAAGACCTGAAGTGGTTTAGTACTTCCATAAGCGTAGAGTGATGTATCGAGCATTTTTCTCGAATTACACACAATTCTCACTCTTAGCCATTCCCAAGTATTGCTTCCCAAGAAATTTCGGCAAAGCACCCGAATCAATTATTACATTCGACAAATTAACTCCTCCCACATTTAAGTATTATTCCATCATGGTAGGAATGTGATCTCTGACGGTGAATGTAAACTCACTATTTTTCGTCATTTCGAACAATCAACACAATTCGTATCATTCAACCGCTTACCGTTTTTATTTATTCTCGGTTGGTTTCGGCATTGCTCATTATGTCCTTGTTGCCGTGCAGGTTTACCTCGAAATTTACCACATCGAACTTTGAAATGTCCCATTCTTCCGCATTTTGAGCATCCGTTTACCTCTTGCTGGGCACATCTTATCTCTGGAAAAATGTCCGATTCGGCCACAAGAGTTCCTTTCCTGTAACAGATGTATAACGGCTTGGATTATTTACTAAATTCACCTGGTGCGATTCTGCGTCAGCTTCAATTGCTTTCGCCTGATGATCAACAGCTTCCATTGCCCTTGCAATTTTTAGCAAATCACTTAATTCGAGATTTTCCTTTTCGAGAAATCTTCGTCGCATGGAATTGGACCGACAATTATCAATCACTTGGTCCCGTATGTGATCATCTTCTTTATCATCGAAGCCACATGTTGTTGCTCTTTGACGTAACCTACAAACAAACTGATCGATCGTTTCATCACTGGCCTGTTTAATTTGCCTGAATAAATGTCTTTCAAAAGGAATATTGGATTTTGGAGTAAAATATTCATCAAGTAAATTTAAAGTTTCGGTAAATGTTTTCTCTTCATCGAGTCCCGCTAAAGTATAAAAAATATCTTGTACCTTTACACCAGCGGTGAACAAAAGCAAAGCTTTCTTGGAGCTATCTTCCGTCGTTCCCTTGGCCGTCAAATATAATTTAAATGAACGTCTCCAACGTTGCCACCGTTGGGAAATACCGTGCGGGTCTCCATCGGAATCAAATGGTTGCATCGTTCCAATGTTATTCTGCATGATCTTGGATGGCTATATTCATGCTATATAGAATAGATCTGTTCCAATCAAAAAAAGTTACCAACGATTTTCTTTATCGTCCAAGTCCAGCAGGTCTTCGCCAATTGTATTTCAATATCCTCGTCGCCAGTTGTAGTGTCTCGCCTCTATCTTCAATGTTCTTTATCTTGCTAAGCTTTCCTCAAGGCAACACACGATATTTGCACACAAAATAGGAGGCTTTTACTGCTACAATTCAGTATGCACAAAAGTAACTGATACAACTTAATAAACAGCGAATAACACCATACAATAGAACCAGCACCAGCCACGCCATCAATGTCCTTCTGCTCCCCTTGGCATGTATCCTTGCGCATTTATATCGCGCCGGACTAAATCAATCATGCAATTCATGACCATCGGACCATGAACACTACAATAACTGCTATCGACTAGGACTCAGTGGTTTTCGAACTTCATTGTATTGTGACGCCCTCCAAAAATATGCTCAAGTTACGACTACCCGTGAAAATACGTACTGATACCTTTCAATAAAAGACTTTTTTTGCAATGAGTTTCGTATAAAGGAGCAAACAATACATAGCGACAGTCAGTGAAATCATATTTAATGGGCCTTGGTAGAAAAGTCTGCTTTATATGAAAATGAAATCACAAAGGCGATAGGAGACGGCAACGCTTTTTGAACCAAGAAAAATAATCTTTATCTACGAAAAACCGAACTTTTTTATTGTAACACCATCCCAGGTAGGATCGATATATTTTTCCTTTTTTTCTGTAAAAGTAGAAGATATGGGTTGTTTGAAAGGTTCACGAATCACGAAATTTTGCGACGTCCTATAGCAAAATTGAAACGACGCACTTCCACGGGATTAGGTCAAAAAAATAAATTAAAGACTTAAAAAGTCTTTTTCAAAGGTGAGCGCTTAGATTAAAATCATTTCTAAAATTCAGGCTTGGTTTTATTTTCGGGGAAACACAGTAGAATCACCGCGCTTGCATAACAATGCATATTCTGATCGTAAGACGCGATTTGCGTGTGCTTGTATAACAATACCGGCTTTAATAATCGTTAAGCTAGCGGTTCCCGAAGGCGATTTGCTAAGTGCGCCTCGAAATATGTTACATATTTTATTTATTCTAAATGTTTTATTGTTTCTCATTGTTGCAAATGATGTGTATAAGAATTAATTTCATTTTACTGTTCTATGTTGTGCACGCTCTGTTACGTCGGGTATCCTACATGCTGCAATTTCGTAGGCTGCAGTTTATACCTTTGCTGAACATGAGTGATTTTTTTAGCATTTTGAAGAAAAACCAGGCAGAGATAAGATAAGTACATAATAACGATGACAAAATAGTGTTTTATTATCAGGCAGCATATTTTTCGTATAGGTGCGCCATGAGTTTTTCCCTTGATAATTTCGCGCCACGCAAACCGCTGTCTTATGCTAAGTTTGATCAATAAGAGTGAACAATTCCGGAGGCCGTCGGTGGCCAGACATCGTATTTCATCATTTAGGCCTGCATAAACAAACATGAGCCAAGGCTGGACTTGCTATGCAGCAAATAGTAGTCGCACCCATTACACTGAATAATTGAGTAATGTTAATCTGAATAAATATGTGCTTGTTTTTGTAATTGAGTAGGCCTACTAAAAGTTGAGAATTAGCTGTGTCAATAAAACATCAAAAATGCATATTTCGAGCTGTTTAGCCTTATTAGCGCGAACGAGGGCTGCGGAAAATTTTAATATATTAAAAAGGGCCGCGAGCTCAAAAGTTTGGGAAGCCCTGGTGTAGGTAATAACTGGTGCTATGACCTATAACTAGGAATATGGAATGATATTGCGTGATTCAATGTCGGGTCGGCTTAGTGAAAACTCAGAAGAAGGAGATCGACATGCAGGAGAACTCACGGATGCCAAATTCTTGGTCGGAATAGACAGCTAAGTAGGCTCACTAAAAATATATATTAGGGACTCGCGTGTTATAAAGAATGGGATTAATACAATTAATTATTAGCATCAAATTTCAGATAAGAAACCATATCATTTAATTAACCGAATATGAATCTACTGCGACTACGGAAAATAGATATTGCGAAAGACTTTTCTAGAACACAACAAAGTGTTCCTAAATAAAAAAAAATTGCAGTAGATTTTGGAATTTTTATATTCGCTAGTACTAATTAATAGTTACGACTGTGGTGTCCACTATCGAAGAAACTTCAGCTTTTTTGGAAGCTTTCAGTTTTTAGATTTCCATCTATGGTGCTTTTAAAACTCGAAGAATATAATTTCACATATATATTTTAGTATAGAATTGAAATAACTTCCGAATTGATTTTTTGTCGATTTTAATGAAGAATGAGCAGAAGTTTTAAAACGTTATATAAACATCTCCATCCGACACATCAAAATACTGACTGTACTATTGATTCCAATTTAAGTCAATACATGTGGCTCGAAAATATATAGTAGATACGACCAAAAGGCAATTAGCTAAAAAGGGTTCTGGTGACTACGACAAACAAGATAACCAACTACAAGAGATATACTATCAACGATAAAGAATGATTAAACAGCATAACTACTTGAAGATGAATCCAGCAAACCGCCAACACTTGTTTATTCAGATTAAAGGCTAGCTATATTACATAGTACAGGGTTTCCCAACCTGGGGTCCGCGGACCCCTGGTGGTCGGTGACGACTACACAGGGGTCCGGAGCGATATCAAGAGTCTGAAATATATATGTTTAACGTATATCCATTGTTACATAGACATTCATAAACGAGATCAAGTCGCAAGTTCACGCAATCTCAAATGGTACATGTTACAAGACCTTAACAATGGGAATGAAAAAGTTGTTGTAAATGTACACGATCGTTGCTTTCAGCGTCTGTGAAGTAGACCTCTGTCATCGTCGGTAATAATTGACTGTATGCGTTATTGAGGTATCACCAGTCAAGAACATGAGCGACTTTGCCAAGGTCATTTGAGCCCCGTTGCTGCAAGAAAGAGGCGTGAAACCCAGTTAAGTTACTTGTGAGAGATTATCCAAGCATACACAATTAAATTGGTCCGTTGTCGTAGAGTTGGGCCTACGAGTTTGCTTGTCACAAATTGATCCGTCACATTATTGTCGTTTGTGTTGTTGTGTTCTAAATCCACATGAAACATTATCCTTCCTCCTCGGTTGGTTACGCACATAAATTGGCAAAAGATAAGGGTCCGTAAAAATAATATCCACAAACAGGGGTCCGCAGTCCAAAAAGTTTGGGAAACTCTGACACAGAATATAATTCTACATTACAATCAACATTTGCATGTTGAACATGTTCGAGATAATGATTTACGAGATTTGGGATGAACGTGTCATATCAAATGGACTTGGACAACTTGGATTTAACTATTTTTTTTTAACAAGAGGCATTTGAATAAAAGGACCCGTGGCCGTGAATCGTTCCAAATTCTTGTTGTTGCTGGGCTCGTTATTGCTTCCAATTCAAATTTTATTAGTTAAGAGTTGTTGAAGGCGCTGAAATTATTTTACAAAATTTCTCGATAATCCATCGAAATTTTGCTGAAATATCCTAATTCATGGAAATTTTTATTATATAAAATGGTAACAAGTTATTCCGCTATGTTTGTCCTCCTCTGAAACACTTATCTGCAAATTATTCCAGTAAATTAGGTGCTCAGAAAACTCGAAGCCGTACCGTAATGTTAACGATGTGCAATCTTGGCTTCCATATAATTGAGTATTGCTATCTTGTAACTATATTTGACTGTTTACACTTATTATCACGAATCTAACCAACTAAAATCAACAATTATATTTAGAATGAAAAAGAAAAAAAAGTTGTAGTCTGATTTTTTTTTATCCGTTGTCAAATTTAAAATTTTTGTCAAATCCAGTGTCAAAACCGGAGTTTTCGCTGATACCCTTACCTGTGGCATTCAGCGCCACTGCATATATGGTGAAAGCAAGACTTGAAGCACTCCGCTTAAATCTATATTGTAACGAAAACTGCATACTGATGAATCGGATTATCATTATGAATTGACAAACCGAGGTTCCCCATAGAAACGTTTAGTATTTAAAGGAATTTGATTGTTTTACCAAAGAGAATCATCATAGTAGTCCTGAATTTGTGAAATTTTATACATTTTGACGAATAAGGTCTTTTAATTAAGACTGTCATTGGAGAAATAAATATTCAGACAGAAAGGTATATTTATCTTGCCAATTAGTCTATTTGTGGGTATCACAGTACTGAATTCAGCCGCTCGATTATCATTCAGTTTTCGAAAACATGTATTTGTATGTTTTCATATCTTCACTTTGTTTCAGGTTTCCCAATACGCGGCATTCATATGTTATTGTATATTATTCCACATCTAAAACATGGATGCTTTGTGATCTTGTCAAAATCTTGTAATTTTATCATAGAATTAAAAAAGAAATATTCCAGTTTCCAGTTAGATAATCTTCCGACGGCAAAGCAAATAAATCAAATACACTCGAGATAAAATTGAATTGCAAGTAATATATTTATATAAAACACAATTTGGCCTTTCCCATGCATGGCAACAGTTTACCTATGTGAACTTGGAATCCTATTTCAATCCATTGCTTTGCGCGATATCAATTTTAAGTCGATTTTTTCTTTCTTAATAATGTCTTTATAACTGCTTTGCTGATCAAAGAGAACCAATACACGTTAAGTATGTCAAACACGACCGTAGCGGAGAGAAAAATGATCTTGTTCAATGTAGATATTCTATGAAAAATAAAATACACATTATGGAAGTTAATCAAGCACTGAGACAAACATGTCCTAATGAAAAGAAAACGACGCGCTATCAAATTGGATGCAAATGTGTGGAGATTATTTGTTTATTTTTGTATTGTTTACCTTGCTTGACAGTATGTATGCTCCCCAATATATTGCACCATGTTAATTTAATCTTTATTAAAACTAAGTTCAAGAAATTTGTAGCCAGCAACTTGAAATATCGATAATCTTTCTATCACTAGCTAAGTTCTCGTGAATTAATTTCGGTGGTAATAAGTTATTTGATTGAGGAAAATTCCAAATATTTCATTGATGAATTCAAAATAACAACTCAGTTATATTTGGAATTGTTGTAACTTGTGAGACCTTCTGAAGCGCGAGCAATATACTCTATAGCTATATGTAGAAATATTGCTGTGGCGTTGAAGACGATATTAGTTAAATAGTTTGAATTCATAAAAAAACCTTTAGGTATATTTTATACCTGGAAAAGGCTTCAGTTCCGGTGTTGTTCAATATTGCGCTATAGCAGAACGGAATAGTGGCAATCCGACCGATGAAAAATAGTACCGTGAAAATGAGACCGTTATTATGTATGCGGGACTATCTTTTTCTTCCCACGTTAAAAGTGCCCACCTAAAAGCAGAAAAATTCGATATGTAGACTATTTTTGTGTTGTTCATTATCCAACTTATTGTTAAATCTTTAATCGGGATTTGGTTAATCGTGTGTGGCCTTCGATAATAAACCATGACGCAATGGCTAGCGCATTAAATGCTGCTGACACGCTATATAGAATACAGAATACTATAAGGAATTAGGCTTGAATTGTCGTAAAAGTATCCATATTTCTACCATCACCGTATAAAAGTGTTACCTTGTATGCATAAATGGTGTAGATATATCGTTGAACATTCGTAAGCAAGTGTGAAATGCATACACCTTATTTACCTAAAAATTAAATCTCAGATCTCACAGTTGTATTTTGTACGTATATATAAACCAAAAAGAGAAAATCATTCGAGTTCAGACTATAATAAGCTATTTCGAATGTTGTTATATTTTACCCATGACAACCTTCTATAATCGCATCATTGAAATATGCATAGGTATTTTTGAATTTTCAATTAAAAATTTCATAAATTTAGGTAATCTACAAGGTCATATTGATTTGAGAAGTTGTGTATTACTCCAAGCAGTCATTCGAAAATATTTGAAGTATTACTGTATCGTAATACGCCATAACAAGAGAGCAATGCTCGAAATATGAAGACCTATGCCCAATAACTTACCGACACAATAATATCAGTTATCTCACGATTTAAAATAAAACAACGAAATATTTGATCTCATGCGGTTCAAAAGAAATTTGAGCAAATAAAAGTAACGATCTTCTAGCGACTTATTCCAAATTTAATTTCACAAATTTAGAAATCATTAGTCCATTAGGTCTGAAGAAGTGATTTTTTCCGCACCAAAATGTCGCATCAGCGGTAAGACTAACAACGACTATTTAGCAAAACGATTCATATGGCAATTTCGTGTCGAATTACACTTTCAAGTTAGCTTCGGGCACTGTAACCTACCACCACCATTCCACAGCCAATTATTGCCGCAACATGATGCCAATAATATTGGGTTTTCATTTTCTGAGTATCACAATACACCAGAAGTAACATGTCTGTAACAAAGCGGTGAAAAATTAATAAATTTTGCATTCCGGGTTATTCAGTACCCATTCCGGGATATTTATATATGTAAATGAAATTTTGTAATTCTTAAATAAAATTTTTTCAAACAAATAGAATATATGGAATATGAAGGCATGTTTTTACACTTTAGCATGGCTTTAAATATGCTTAAAATCAATTTAACATACACACAACTGACGCGACTCAACTTCCTTTACAACACATTGTGGTCAAATAGCCTAAGCAGATAAAAATAATCGAGATATATAAATTGAGATAAATAGTAAACTTTCCTTATGTCATGTGCCATAAACTCCATATTACATGATGTTTACTCAAAACAAACGTATAGATTACTGCATCATGTATTACTTACTCATCATCCAGCGGAACGATTTATATTTTGCTACGAGATAAATTGTTTCTTGTTTTAATAATGATTTAGGAACCAATACTTACCGGAAATCATGTATCCGATTACGAATGATGACAAAAGTCGGGTAGCATGGCTATCATACCTATTTATTCGAGAAAAAGTTAGCCGACAAAATATGGAAAATAGTGCAAATGAATATAAAATTATTTCCCCACGTTTGATGATAAATGAATTTGAAGTGAGGAAAGTCGCGCATACGTGAAACTGATAACGAATGAAAAAATACATAAGTGTAATTATTCATCGACTTAATTCAACAACTCAAATTAACGAAAAACTCGAATGAATTTTTATACTTGTGCGACATAGGGAAACGTCATCTGCGTAGTCTTCGCAAAAGAATTGGTAACGGGATTAAAGAAGGGGCCTGCCTGATATTGACAATAAGTCACTAGTCACAAAATACGTACGTATTTCATGGACTAAAATCACAGTACCAACAATTCAATTTAAAAGAAACGTACCAAAACATGTCGCTTCGTAAGTCTTCTGTTAAGAGTATATATGTAGCACTCGGTCCAATTATTAGAGCACTAATAATAGACGCAAAACTGTAAAATCAAAATAAATGATAAAAACTTCCAGTAAGGTATGAAGTGAGTTAAAATATCAACCACATTTCAAAATATTTTGCAAAATGACTAATTTGGAGATAGATATAGAAGTAGATTTTCTTGCCAACATATTTTACAGCCTGCCGAATTAAAAAGCGACTCTGAATTACTACACCATTTCATCAGTGTGCCATATTCATTAATATGTAAATAACAATGATAATTTCAAAATAATTAATCCCATTATTGGGCCGCTTATACATGCCGCCGACATCGATCATGTGATAAAATCCCAATTACTACACTATACAGTAAATTGTATTAATGATTGTATCTTAAACATTGCAATTTGCTAACGTTGTTCATTACCTTATTTTCCACGTCCATTTGTCTTCTTCTGACATTTCTTCATAGTATTTAGGAATAACTTTCTTTGAGACAATGGCAGAAACATAGACGCCAATAAACAACATTAAAATGGAAGTGGCAACAACGGTGGCCGAGTAGGTAATGATTTCAGTTTCGAGCAACATACTTACATTTGCATTAAAGTTCGGCATAAAATATTAAAAATAAACTTTTTAATTAATGTACACCATAACCTAGAACATTGAAGTATTTATTGATCATTGAAGTTTAGACTGAGCTAAAGATAATTAGAAGCTGTCGTGCCTACTACATACTGATCACACATCGTAACTTTTAACAAGCATAGTTAAAAGAAAATTGGATCGTTACAAAATTTAGTAATCATATATTCAACCACAGTATAGCCCCAACCATCCCAGGAAACGCAAATTTTCCCCAGGAGCTCTCAACAACCATCATGAGACGGACGCATTATATGATTATAAAATAATGTCTGTGTTCCGAATGCCCAGTACGTCCACTTTAAAACGTTTCTAATCAATAAAATAAAATAACGGAAATGAAATTTATCAAAAATGATGTGCGCAATGATAGAAAAGAGAAATAATACTGCATGATGGGTAATATTTGTTTCCAGATTTGTCAAGAGGCCTGAGCATATACGTTATATAAATCCGAATGCCACATTCCTTTGGTTATCGTCTCTTATTGAGATCATTTGACAATGAGAGACAATTCTGCGGTGAGATTTTATTTAATTATATATACCAGGGTGGTCCAAAATGCAGGCCCGCCGCTTCATTATCTGTGGCCCGCGTCGCATTTGCGCGAGGGTAAACAAATAATCGCATTTGGTGTTGTTTCGTCATAAAAATACCCAGAAAGATCTTTTGACAGATTGTTTCATCACTAATTTCACTGAATTGACTAGTGTTTTGGCTAGCTGAGGCAACTGGCAAAGTTGAATGATGTGCTTGGCAGTCTAAATTTTTATCTGGCTTTTCATCTTTTTGGTCGGGAATATATGCTAACAAAATAGGCTTCATAGAAAACTAAAAATCAATGAGGAATCCATTAGCCTAGGTTGCTATGCCTGATAACTAAATATTAATGTTATGGCCGAACAATACAATTCCCACCGGGTGTTTTTTTGTAACCAGTCTAAACAGTATTAAAAAAATGTCAGAAAATTTAGTAATTACCCTCCTGTATCTCAAATTTGGTAAAATTCGGCAGTCAATCAGTCTGCAGTTCCTTCTAAGTTATTTTGTGAACACGAGTTTAAAAATAAAGCCAACCAATTCAAACTTAATTTTAACTGGGTGTGAGAGCAAAATTACCACAATGCTTGCTTGATATGTCCGCAAGTTGTGTCGGTGACAATCTGATACGGCAGTTTCTCCTTATGACACTTTCTCCGTTATGAAAAGTTCGAAATATTACACTAAATATAGATATAGTGAGATTTTTGCACGTTTTAGGGAGTTTTTTTTGTGGTTTTTGCACGCTTTAGCTTTAAAAAAAATGTAAAATAATGATCAATGTATTTGACAAAGTCGACAACCTTGGACCACCCCGATATATACCATGATTTACAGATTCCGCTCTTTAGCGGAGTGATATTACCTTTTTCGTTCGTTTTACTTTTTAGCAAAATATTTCTGTCATAGTTGACAATATCTTGCTATATATAGCTTTCTTCATTCACTGCATGTGAATTCCATGTCAATGCGCTACCAAATGCAATTTACCAAATACGTTACTTTCAACGATGTAATCATTTTGAAACACAGAATAAAATAGTCCCAAATAAAATTTTGAGATGGACTAATCAGGGACAACAGCAATATGTATATGCCTGCTAATTCAAAACTGACCGATAAAGGTACACAAGAGAGCAGTGCTTAAATATTTGAACAAAGGAGGCCAAACGTCATATAAAAGTGCTTCCATATCTCATAAAATTGTTCCATCCCCATATATTTCGAAGGAATTTTGAAAAAACTAACCGCCACTCTCCGGTGATTCCTATCGTTATGTATACTCGACTATGCAAATAAAAGATATTTTCTCAACAACAACCAACCATTTATCAGAACGATCTATATATACATTTCGTGCCAATTTTTATATAAAGATATTTTTCATATAATCACATCATATAAGGAAAGATTTGTTTCGCGCGATTTATTGACTTATCATCCGCCTTTATACGAGAAACCTTCAATTTCTAAGATAATATTACATCAAAGCATAGGCCTATTGCACGCATCCGCAGCGCTATCGACTACAGAATGCAACGTGCATTTGAATTGAAACTGAAAGCAAATACTAAAAACTTCATGACCTAATCAATAAATCACGAGGTTCGTGACATTACTAGTATATAATTTCAAAAATTTTGCTTGCCAAAGAGTTGTTGTTCTGAACCTCCAACGTAAATATTTCATAACCGAACTGGATATTGTGTCTAGATTGTAAGATGAAAGTACGAATACAACCGGCCTGAGGCTACCGTTCGGTCCAGTCAGATCCGCTAATAAGGAATAATAGCTCGCATTCTCGTGACATTTGCAACTCAAATGCATCGATATTCTGGCTTGGTGCTCGAATTTTGCACAGAAATTGATCACCAAATTAGTACGACACTTACATATAAAGTCAGAAGCAGCTAAGTGAACAATTTTGCCCTTGTTTTGCCTGGCATCGTGCAGTTAATTGCAGGAAGCGACACTGCTTGACATGATTCAGAGTCGTACACATATTCTTAATTACAAAATTTACTGATTGCTTCCTTTAATTGTTTACATCCATTGTTTGATTTATTGCAACAAACATAACATGATTAGCACAAAATTCCAGTTGTTTTCGCTCCAAATAGGCCTGAAAGTAAGTGTCCGCGTAATTACTTTTTGCCAAACCTAATGGTTTTTCATTGTTAAAAATTTCGGGTTTAAAAATTTGTTATAGTGTTACCGTGACAGTGAAATTGAAATCTACGTACTAACTGTCATAAGTACTAGTATTAGTGTATTTAGAAATATATGGTCCTGAATAGAATGCGTGACGGCGTTAACCTATTAAGCACTGAGTTCATCAAGCATTCTTAACTGTTCCTTAGAAGAGGCTTGCACACGCCAACATTTTCGTTATCAAAATTTAATTTTCTCAAATTTCGGAGTTGGAGTCTGTGTCAGAGTTGATTGTAAATTTTCCCCGACTCCACAGCCATTTGAGCTCATTGGCGGACTCTAACATTTCGAAACTTTGTACATGAAATATACAAACTATCCCAATTTATTTTAAAACGAAGTTCTTGATTTATCTTTCTGTCTGTTGGTGCCAATGATGACTTATATGCCGGTGCATATGATCAGTCATAATTCATATAATAAACTACAACTACACTAACAACAAAATATCTACCACCACCTAAATTTGGGACCACCCCTCCTGAAATGAGAAGCTGGGAAACATACTGGCTGGAACCTCGTGTAAAATCTTCTTGCCATGGTGCTCATCTAATCCCAATAGACCAGGGGTTCACAAATGTGGTACATGTACCCCCAGAGGAACATTTCAACTTTCCAAGGGATACATTTGGTCAGGTATACGGATATTTTTTTCTATAACTTTTAATCTGCGTTAAAAATATGTTTTATCATCCGATGTTACTAATTTGAAGACCTGTTATCAATAACTCCTTGAGAAGTCACATATATTCCCCTCGGTAAAATTTTTAACTACCGTAACTATCAAGTCTACTTTCGCGGTTCACCCGATTTATTTTGTTGAATCACAGCACGCAAGATAGAACAGCTGATTGATTGCTGCCGAGAACCAAAGGATATAAAGCAAATACTTATGTCCCCACACATGAGCGAATTCATAAATTGTTCAAAGGATAACAATGAACAGATGGTGTAGAAAATATACAACATTATGGGGTAGGCGATGTTTCTTCTCTGGGTACTGCAATGGAGGAAATTAAATGGATGCTAATAAAATTGAAACGAAAAGTGGACGCTCAGAATATAAACAAAAAGTGATGTGATGAGTGTTTCAATTGTTACAAATCACTGATACGTCATTTATTAAATTCAAATCGCTTATCTTGGTTACATTTTCTCGCTATTTATTTAAACACAAAATTAGAATTTTAATGTTCTTCTCGTAAAAGACGTTATATCGCAGGTCGTGTTTTAATTTTTGTTGTCTACACATCCTGAAAAATACAAAGGGACTTCGTTCCAGTCATTTTTCAATTCGATGAGTTTGTTGAAAATCTTAAGAATTGTTCTTGCATCAGGGGGCATCGTACGGCTTGAAATCCAGAAAATTTTCTTTCCTGAAAGTAAAATATATTTTTAAAAAATAGCAGAAATATTCTTTTGACCTATTTAATTCTATTCCGGAGTGAGTGAACTAATGGACGTAGGGGGAGTATTTGAAAAACACAATATGCACAGAATAAATACATTCGACGTTATCACGTTTGAAACGTTGCCTGATAAATATTGGACGCACAATCGTTTCTGTACGTCTTGGGCTTTCCGAAAGTATTTGAAGTAATTATATTGAATATTGAATGCTTTTGGTACTATATGAAATAAAAGAATTACCTTTTCTAGTGCATACCAAATACATTGCGTAGTTGTCGTAGTCAGTAAAATAACGATACTCGTCATTGAAAACTTCCATGCTTTCTAAAAAACGAATTTGACTTGAAAGAATTTGTTAAAGCACTTAGAGTGCGATTGCACAACGCTTACCTTCCAGTAACTCGTGACTCGGTGCAACACTTGGTTTGATTTCGTTTATCAAGTAGTCCATCCATTTTCCAACTGAAAAAACATATGTTTATATAGATATATATATATATACTAATCAAGTTTAGTTTTTCTATACAAGCATTTGAAATACAGTATACGTTTTCTTGAAACACCTAGTATAATAGTTTTAGTGAATCTGACTAAAATAGGTAATTTTGTTTCAAAATTTTAATTTTTCGTTTCTGTTCTATTTCACTTGTAGATTTCTAACAGTCGTGAAGGAACCTTAACTATCTTTCAATCCATATCACAATGTTTGACTGGTTTGGAATAACTGTCAACTCGTTGTTAGATGCTAAACATTGCCTGCTATTGATTAAAAATCTCTAGATCAGATTCACTCACCATGCTCTTGATTCCAAATGAACCCACCAGAATTTTGTTTTATTGAATCAATGGTGACATTTGTGTTCCTATAAGAGAACACTTTTCATTGTATATTTACCAATATATATATCAATGACATTTAAATCATAAAAGCACCCAAAACTCAATGACACACCTCCCCGCGTCTTTGAAAATATAAGAGATTCCATTGCTTGTAGGTCGAATATCTTGGATTTGATAACATGGCACAACTCTGTCCGAAGGAGTTCTAACATTTAAAATTCCGTACCACACTCCAGTCATCTTTGAAAAATACACAAAATAGGTCATACAGTTAAAAATAACAGAATCGACTTACCTTTTGTGTGCATGTAGAGCAATCATTCCTAGTCAAAAACACAAATGTAATTTTTGCTGTTTCATATCAACGTTTTATAGTATTCACCCTATGGTTGGAATTTCCGTAGAGCGTTTAACATAATGGTAATAGCGCCTTTAGAATACATTTCTTTGTGATGACTATACTTGACATGTATTATTAATGAGAAGAAAATATAGAAATTTTCTGATATAAACCATAACGATATACCGATATTATAAGGAGATGTGTCCTACCTTGCTCCAGTCAATATCTTGTTGCGCAGGAGGTAATTCGCATTCATTGCCGTCTCCGTCACCATCTGCCGTTACATGTGGGACACAAACAAGTGCAACAAACCACAAAATAATGGTATAAGAGAATATTTTCATGGTGTCAGTTCATGGAAATGTCGCGCTTAAAATGAGAAGCTTGTGGATTAGTACCCGTTATTATTGGTTCTAAACAGTGGCAATCTTTGGATTTTAACCAATTATTGGCAATACTCGAGGGCAGGAAGGAAATGAGAAATATTCGGATATGAACATTCCTACTTTGAACCCTTGGATTTGTTGCACTGCACTGCATTTTCAGCCACAGATGTAATGTAAATAGGGAATGACTAATGTGTACAAATCAATAAAATTACCTAGAGCTCTACAGTTCTGATGAATTTTTGTTTTATATGTGTTTCATAAGCAGAGCAGCTTAAGTGCGATTGCACAGCACGTACCGTTCAGTAACTCGTGACTTGATGCAACGCTTGGTATGAAGTTTACTGAAACCTTTTTTTGTCGTAGGATGGAAGAATCTAATTGCGTAACAAAAGATTTTGTCGCCTGATACCGGGATACAAAAGTTAATATACTGGCAGTGAAATGCTTCCCGAAAAGAAATAGGCTAACAGTGTTCTTTTAATATTCTGTTTATTTCAAATGCTACAAATCTTATATCAGTATGCCCATTGTCTTGCGCTGTTACACCAATGGTCTCTAGGTGGTAAAGTTAGCTGAATTAAGTCGTGATTTACACTTTTCTGAAAATGCATTTGTGACATTTCATCAAATCTTGGAAGATGCGCTATTTATCATTACATCAGCGCAATAAAAGTTATCTTGTGAAAATTTCCACAATGTGTATGCTAAAGGATGCAATGATCCAAAACCTTCGAACGCTTAACTCAAATAGAAACATCTGAAAAGCTCATGTATGATGTTGGTAGAATCAACAAATTTTTTTAATATTCGGTAGAATGCAAGATAAAGGCCGTCGCAATTCTTAGGCATTTTTTTCTTGCATTTATGGATTTTATATTTAGCTTTGTTGAAAAACTCTTTGCCAATATAGCTAGACAGTGGTTCTCAACCTTTTCACCCAGGGCCTTCCCCTGGGTGTAGCCTTATTATTATCACGGGTATTCTAACTTTTGCACAACCAAATTCATTTTTGTTACAATTTGATGTTTCTCCCATTGCCAAAATCATTCAACGGTGTAATTGTCAGCAGCACTAGTGAAAGAAATGAAAGAGGCAAACAAACCGTATTTCATTACAACGATTAATTATTATCGCTAAAAACACTAAATAGGTTTAAATTTGTTATAAACAATTTTCACCGATGAACGAATCTTTTCACGTTATGAATTTCGTGCATGGCCCGAGCATAATTTGATGGCAAAGATCGTAGCATTTACCATGTCGAAACGCTTATTCGACTTTTTAGCCGCAGAAACTATCCGAATAATAACCGTTTCTGTGTTCGGGATATGAAACAATCGTCAATTTCACGGCGCTTTCGTGAAGTTGTGCAATTTACTAAATTTAATGAAGATTTTATCATTAAGTTTCATTGAATCAGTGTTTGTGCTACCACGCGTTTTGCTATTTCCTCCCGTCCTTATTTTTTTACAGGGACTAATTCTTACCCAACGTTTGGTTCTATATTCCTGGGAAAACTATGCGTTCATATGGGCGACATATGTTAAAGACGGCTACTAAAGAGTAAATTTTACAAAACGGTGTTGGCGCGCATTATGCAAAACTTGGAATTAAAACAATACCCAAATACCTGAAATACGACTCCTCAAATTTGTCGTGTCTGTTTGTTAGCAAGAGCCGTTGGGTAATTCTTGTGTAATTCAAGGAATTAGAAATTGGAATCAATTAAAATAAATTCCAAAATGAAATCTCTTCAAGGCACACCAAAATCTTTTCACGGCACACTATTTCACTCAATATTGCAGAGATTTTTTGGCATAATAAGCTGAAAATTGTACACATTTCGCGTGTCTCACTAATCTCACTTTGTATTCCGGCATATAACCAAACTTTCTGTTATGATCAACACTTGAGTTAAAATAACAATTGTGTTTTTACATAAATGGCAGATGCAAAACTATCACATTTACAGTCACGTAAACAATTTTCCTCCATTTTTATCGTCAATATATTTCCCAACGGCATATTTTGATATTCGCATATAGATTACACGCGCGGACATTTGCACACGTGGCATTTGCACCCATTGAAATTTGTGCCAACAGATATTTGCGGTCAGGGAATTTGCACTCATCAACATTAGCAACCATGGGTGTTTGCATGTATGGATCGATTTATTTGGATTCCCGGCCGTCAACTAGTTGTGTTCCTAACAAGATCATAACTTCAAAGAATATTTCTTCTAAATTGCTTTTAAATTCGTTTCGTACATATTTTCTGTACACATACCGAGGCAAATGCATCAAGTAATATGAATTGAATTGACAAATTGGGACTTCGTGAGGCACAAGTATCCAAATACAAATAAATGATTTCATTCACGTTCCATATCTTGATTTCATTTTCCCATTATTTAATAAACACAAAATTAGAATTAGGATATTCTTCAAATAAAATATGGTATATCGCAGGTCGTGTTTTAATTTTTGTTGTCTACACATCCCGAAAAATACAAAGGAACTTCGTTCCAGCCATTCTTCAATTTGATGAGTTGATTGAAAATCTCAAGAATTGCTCTTGCATCAGGACGCTTCATGCGGCTTGAAATCCAAAACATTTTCTTGCCTTAAAATAGAATATATATATATTTTCCGAAAAGGCCGAAATATTCCTGGTGAGAAAACTAATGGATTCGTGATCGATATTCAGAAAATAGAGTACAGAACAAATAAATACTTAATACTTTCTCTGAAGTAAATCAGACGTACAATCGGTTTTGTACGTCTCGGCCTTCCCGAAATTATTTGAAGTAATCAAAGTGAATACAGTATAATTTTGCCTTTTGAGCAAATAAATTTCATCAGTGGTAATATAAGCGAAAACTGAGGTAAGGTTATCTCATGAAATAACTACCTTTTTTAGTGCATACCAAATACATTGTGTAGTTGTCGTAGTCAGTGAAGTAACGATACTCATCAGTGGACAGCTCCATGCTTTCTAAAATCGAAATTGACTTTTATTATCCGATAAATGATTTTGTTAAAGCACCTAAGGAGCGATTGCATAATTCTTACCTTCCAGTAGCTCTTGACTTGGTGCAACACTTGGCTTGACTTCGTTTCTCAAGTATTTCATCCATTTTTCAACTACACAAAACATATGTATATATATAGATATATATAAATAGGCTTATATACTCTATTTTATCAAGTTTAGTTTTCTTTAACAAACAATGGAAATCCATTATAAGTTTCTCAAAACACCCAGTGGGAAGGTATTTAGTAATAATGTCGAAATTTCAATGTCGTTTTTGTTCTTTTTATAATATGCATTTTATCAGTCGCGAATGAACCTTACCCATCTTTCAAACCTTATCACAAGGTTTGACTGGTTTGGTCTGGTTGACAAGTCGTTGCTAGATGCTAAATATTGCCTGCTATTGATTGAAAATCTCTAGATCAGATTCACTCACCATGCTCTTGATTCCAAATGAACCCACCAGAATTTTGTTTTATTGCATCAATGGTGACATTTGTGTTTCTATAAGAAAACAGTTTGCATTGTACATTTACCAATATATCAATGACATTTATCTCATGAAAGCACCCAAAACTCAATGACACACCTGTCAACGTCTTTGAAAATAGAGGTGATTCCATTGCTTATAGGTCGAATATCTTGAATTTGGTAACATGGCACAACTCTGTCCGAAGGAGTTCTAACATTCAAAATTCCGTACCACACTCCAGTCATCTTCGAAAAATACCAAAATAGGTTATACAGATGAAAATAGAAAAATCGACTTACCCATTTCGTGTATATGTAGAGTTATTATTCCTGGCCAAAAACATAAATTTAGCTTTTGCTGTTTCATATTAACGTTTTATAGTATTTACCGTATGGTTGGAGCTTCCGTAGAACGTTTAACATAATTGTTAATAGCGCCTTTAGAATACATTTTTTTGTGATGACTATACTTGACTGGTAAAGAAGAAAACAAAGAAAATTTTTTATTCAATGCATTATAAAATCTCCTTCTATTATTGAGAGGATAATATAGAAATTTCCTGGTATAAACCAATAACGATATACCGATATTGTCAGGAGATGCGTCCTACCTTGCTCCAGTCAATATTTTGTTGCGCGGGAGGTAGTTCGCATTCATCGTCGTCTTCGTCGCCATCTGCCGTTACATGTGGGACACAAGCAATTGCAACAAACCATAAAATAATGGTATGAGAGAATGTTTTCATAGTGTCAGTTTATGGAAATGTCGCGCTTATACTGAGCAACTTGTGGATTAGTACCCCTTATTATAGGTTCTACACAGTAACAACCTTTGGATTTAAACCAATTATTGGCAATACTTGAGGACAGGGAGGAAATGAAAAATATACGGATATGAACATTCCTACTTTGAACCCTCTGATTTGTTAAATTGCACTGCATTTCTAGACACATTTAGCCACAGATGTAATGTAAATATGAAATGAATATTATGTACAAATCAATAAAATTACCTAGAGCTTATGAATTATTGATTTATTTGTGATCCATAAGGAAGTAGCTTTAGTGCGATTGCACAATAAGTACCTTCCAGTAACTCGTGACTTGGTGCAACACTTGGTATGCCGTTTACTGAAACAATTTTCGTCATAGGATAGTCCTATCTAATTGTGTAGTAAAACATTTTGTCGACTGATATCAAATAATCCAAGATGAAAAAATTAATATACTGGCAGTGAAGTGCTGCCCGAAACCAAATAACCAAATAATTTCAATCTTCTGTTTATTTCAATTGTTAAAAATCTTTTATTAGTACTTTTCTGAAAAGGCATTTGTGACATTTCATTAAATCTTGGAAGATGTGCTTTCTATCATAATATGTCTATGCTGAAGGATGTAATGATGCAACCCTTCAAACGCTTCAAATTCATATTGACTTGAATAGAAACATCTGAAAAGCTCATGTATAATCTTGGTAGGATCAACACAGTATTTTAATATTTGATAGAATGCAAAATAAAGACTGTGGCATTTCCTCGTCATTTTCAAGCTCTTGCATTCAATTGATTTTAGATTTACCATTGTTGAAAAAACGTCTCGCCATATACGTAGAAGAACTATTTATTAACACTTTTATACTCGGTTAAGATGAATTTTGAAACGCTAAGCCGAAGCTATCCAAATCACCCTCTTTATACACCCTTAACATGCGTCGATCTCTTAAAAGCTAAATTTGAATTTCGGGTAGTACCCGTTATTATAGGTTCAACATTGCAGCAACCTTTGGATTTATATCAATTATTTGCCATACTTGAGTATAGGAAGGAAATGAGAAATATTCGGATATTAACCTTCCTACTTCGAACCCTTGGATTTGTCAAATCATACTGCTTTTACAGACATATTCAGATCTGAAACACAGATGTCAATAATGTAAATAAGGAATGGTGAATTTGCGCAATTCAAAACAATTTTGTTCTTGATCAACTCTACTCTTCACAAAAAGTTATGCTTGACTGCAGTCACATTTGAATGCTGGTATTATCATTACGGAAGTAAGTTTCAGAATTTCGAATCGAAGCGATTCGAATCAACATCGATTCGAAGCAATTTAGGAAAAAGGGCTTGATTCCATTTGAAAAAAAATTCCTCAAGGCAACTGCACGACACAGCGGCGCTACCGTTATATCGACCAAAAGCGTTTATTATCCTTGCGTTTACAGCTTTCCAAAGCCGTGACACTCCCAAGGTCGTTATATTTCATATTGGTAGTAGCTTTCGAGGGACCAATGGATTCGCTCCATTTTGTTCGACTACTTAAAATGTTACAAAGTTTCACAAATATTTTGAACGTGTCTTCAAATTATCTACATAATATTATTATAATAAAACATCATTGCCCCATACCTTATTAAAAACATGTCTGCGATGCTTCCCTCGTTATCATAGCTTCTTTTTAAATCATGGCGCATACGGTACTAACTAGCGATTATAATTTGGATGAATTTTGAAGGTCAATTTTAGAAGAAACAATCGCTATAAACCCGTATCATTTGCAAACATAATTGTATGTAAGTAAATATGTAACTGAGTATACTTTTATGTAACAAAAAATAAATTTTAGCCGTAATATATTTGGTAGTTGATATATCCATGCAGTGTGTTTTTCTGGTAACTTTCTTAATTCTTCAAGCTCATTATTGTTATTTTATCAAAATTTATACTATTTTTCTTCCAAATTTGAGGAAAGTTAACGATAATATGATGATATACTAAATAGAATCAGATTCGGAAATATTCGAATCGGAACATTGTGATTCGAAATTCTATTCGAAAAAAAAATATTCGAAACTTACATTCCTAATTATCATAAATTTCAATAGAAATATTTAGGTGTCTGGCCTTATTTGGTTAACTTTGAAAATCCACAAAATTGTGTGGTAACGGTTTAACTGTGAAATTTTAGTCGTTAATTGCGAGATTCTGAGAAACTTGAGCTAAGTCTCTTATTATACTACCCACTCAAGGGGGGAATGCTGGTTTTGCGTTACCCCATCAACTGAGATCTGAAATGATGCAACATCGTCACAGTTCTTTCACACAAAGCACAGCTATGTATAGTTTAGGCAAAATGTTGTTGTTTTGTGAATGTTTTTTCTGTCGGGAAATAGTACTCATAGATGGGAGAAGTCCCTGAAAGGCTATTATTTTTTTTACTATCCTTAGATTCCTACGTGATCTGAAATTTCACGCAAACACATTGCTATATTGCTGTAATGCCTGAGAACACGTCATGCTTGTCCGCCGATATACGTGCTCAGCTCTAAGACTTCAACGGTACCGATGCGCGAACTTTGTCTTTCCTTGTTTTCTAAAAGTGTCTCTCAGCACAACCTTCAGGTTAATTTGTTTCACTCCAAGAGTAAAAAAAACTACCATCACAGCATTGCATCAATTAGGGTTACTACTTACTACAACTCTGGCGTGATTTATTTGTGATTTAAATACAGTCATGATTGTCAGCATTATTTTCCTCTAACACGTAACACTGACGTACTGGGGAGTCAATGAAATTACAATAAAGTGTGTCGATCGCAACTGTTTTGTTTAATTTTCAATATATGAGCGATACGGTGGAGAAACCTATGGGTGTAAACATCCATGACAGAAAATCGCCCGTGGGTGCGAAAGCCCTTGTCTGGAGTTTTCCAAAAGTTCTAAAAGAAGCTTATTTATGTGAGAGGGTGAAAATATAATAAATAATAAAAACATGGATGACGAGCATAAATCACAGTATAATGAATGCTGGAATCTTTATACTCGACTACTCTAAAGAAAGAAATCAGATTTATATATGTATATCCAAAATTTGCCTCTCACAAAAGCAACATCAATGCAGTCTGAAAAACAATCAATAAACTAATTGATAAAAATATAAAACTAATGTTTGTCTTTCGATTGGACTCGAATGCAGTGGTACAGAAATTGAAAATAAATTTCACAAACACTTTTCCCGAGGGGCACAAAGTTTGCTTGACAAAATGCCACATCCAGTTAGATGTGACATCAAACACTTATCAAATTTTTTGGAAGAAAATAATTCTCATCCATGTTTTAAGGCTAATTACATTATTAGGAATCGATGGTATTCCATTCAAAATTTTGAAATATGTTCCGGAACATATCATTGATATCCTGATATATATATACATATTCGACCTCTCACTATCTACTGGATTTCAATAGAGTAAAATTTCTTCCTATTTTCAAAAAGGGTAGTGTTTCAGAACTTGGAAACTATATCGTCGTATATATTTGTGTCATGAATTACGGAGTTTTTCGAGGATTTTTATCTAGCCCCTTATTCTTTCTAGCTCACATAAACGACATGCCTATATGTCTGGACTCCTCTGAGTCTAGCATGTTTGCTGGTGACACTGATTTGATTTGGGTAAAACTTGGGAACAACTATCCACAGTTACAAACCAGGAACTATCTCTTAATGCCAACAAGACTATGTGTGTTGTACTATTACTTCCAAGCAAACTTAAAAATGTGAGTTATTTAAAACCTTTACTGCTCAATGGCAAAGAAATCGAAAGAGTGAGTGGAATAAAATATTTAGGAGTAATCTTCGATGAAAATCTTCGGAAATCTTGTATCAATCAATCGGCTGTAGGCATACTAGCAATGTTTCAATCATTATTACTCATGTTACTCAGCCTTGCTCCGCGGGAACAAAATACTCGTCTCAAAATTGCAAAGAATAAAAAAAAAATTATGAATTATTTTTGGGAGGAGAAGATGTGAAAGTGTGGACGATTACTTCAAATTGTTAAGTATACTTAAGGTTGAAGATATGATTGAGGTTTTGTCATGAGCCAGCATTTTCTGCGTTTTGCTGGACCCAAACTCTGAAATTATCTTTCTTTGAATTTGAAGAGGTTGAGGTCCAAAAAATCTTTTCAGGAACAAACTATTAAAAATTACCGTTTTTAACTACACTGATATATATTCTTTTTGCATGAAATTAGCTACAATGTGTTGGTGGTTTTGAATCAATTAAACCTCAAGAAAAATGGATTTCTTGTTGATAACCCATGAACAAAAATTTGGGCACCTCCTCATTTGCACATTGTTATTTTCATGGAAATATTGAACAGTTATAATAATATTGTTTTTGTTCCTGCGACTATTAATTATGTACGTGTAAGTGTGTGTGTAAAATAATTTTGGGTGAGTGAGCACGTACCACTTATTTTTGACAAAACCTTCAATCTTGTATTCCGTACGTTTTAAACGTTATTTACCGTTTTGCTTTTGCTCCTTCTTTCATAAACAGTTTTTATTTATTTGCTTTTATTAATTATTTTCAGTCTGTTATGCGGATTTTGGAGTCGAACTCGAAATAAACTTCGATTATCTTTCAAATGAATTCAATTCGCACAAGATTGACAATATTCGAACAACAAATGATTGGAAAATCAATGGACGTCTCAACGATTTTTCACCAGGTAATTGCGATAAGATTTCAAAGTATTCCTCTATTTAAAAGTAACTCGAAAAATGACTTGATGTCACCACACTTTTTTATTTGCGACATGTTTTTATATTGGTCTCCTACTCAACTGTAAGTTTAAAGTCGTTCCCTCGAAAAATTGTATACATAAGCATACATAATTAGGAAAATTCGAACATGAAAGAGTCAAATCGAAGAATATTCTCACTTACCACAACTTTTTGTTACTACAGTACTCAAGGTTGCAAT